TCAACAATGGGCTATATGCACGGGGAGGCGTGATGTCATTTCCTGTTAACAAAATACAGCCCGTTCACTTCCTGCCTACCCAGGTGAAAAAGAAATATATTTAAGTGTATTGTTGCTCTATTTTACTTTTCAAAAATATATTTTTAATTAAATAAAATGAACTTGTACTTTTAAGAAATACATTTCAAGTATAACAGCAATATATCTGTAAAATTGTTATTCAAACATATTTTGTAGTAAGTATATTTTTAAAACACTTTCTAAAAATATGTTTTACAAAAGTATAATTCAAATGCATAAAAAGTATAACATTGTATATATATTTAAACCGATTTATTTTATTATATACTTTTTGTATATTTATTCTAAATATACTTAGAGTAAATATGTTGATAATATGTAAATAATGCAAAAAAAGAAATACTTTCTTTTCTTTTCAAACACAATTCAAATGTATTTTCTTATCAACCTACTTATTTAATATATTAAATATCAAGTTAATATTAATTTTAACAATGCTAACTCCAAGTTACCTTTGTGTTGTATGTTTACATACAATTTTCATATTGTTAAATACTTAAAATATTGCAAGTTCAACTTTCCTATTTGAAAATAAAGATTGTAAATGGATTTACATCCATCCATCCATTTTCTTCCGCTTTATCCGTTGCCGGGTCGCGGGGGCAGCAGTCTAAGCAGAGACGCCCAGACTTCCCTATCCACACACACCTCCTCAAGCTCGTCCGGGGGGACCCCTAGGCGTTCCCAGGCCAGCTGAGAGACATAGTCTCTCCAGCGTGTCCTGGGTCTTCCCCGGGGCCTCCTCCCGGTGGGACGTGCCCGGAACACCTCCCCAGGAAGGCGTCCAGGAGGCATCCTGAACAGATGCCCGAGCCACCTCAACTGGTTCCTCTCGACGTGGAGAAGCAGCGGCTCTACTCCGAGCTCCTCCCGTGTGACCGAGCTCCTAACCCTATCTCTAAGGGAGCGCCCAGCCACTCTGCGGAGGAAGCTCATTTCGACCGCTTGTATCCGCGATCTCGTTCTTTCGGTCATTACCCACAGCTCATGACCATAGGTGAGGGAGGGAACGAAGATTGACCGGTAAATTGAGAGCTTTGCCTTTCGGCTCAGCTCCCTCTTTACCACAACGGTCCGATACAGAGACCGCATCACTGCGCACGCTGCACCGATCCGCCTGTCAATCTCACGCTCCTCCCCTCACTCGTGAACAAGACCCCGAGATACTTGAACTCCTCCACTTGAGGAAGGACCTCTCCACCCACCTGGAGAGGGCAAGGCACCTTTTTCCGGTCGAGCACCATGGCCTCGGATTTGGAGGTGCTGATTCTCATCCCAGCCGCTTCACACTCGGCTGCAAACCGTCCCAGTGCATGTTGCAGGTCCTGGTTCGTTGGAGCCAGCAGGACGACATCATCCGCAAAAAGTAGAGATGAAATCCTGTGGTTCCCGAACCGGACCCCCTCCGGCCCCTGGCTGCGCCTAGAGATTCTGTCCATAAATACAGTGAACAGAACCGGTGACAAAGGGCAGCCTTGGCGGAGGCCAACATGCACCGGGAACAGGTCTGACTTACTGCCAGCAATGCGAACACAGCTCTGGCTCCGGTCATACAGGGACCGAACAGCCCTCAGCAGAGGACCCCGGACCCCGTTTTCCCGGAGGACCCCCCAAAGGACACCCCGGGGAACGCGGTCGAACGCCTTCTCCAAATCCACAAAGCACATGTGGACAGGTTGGGCGAACTCCCATGAACCCTCGAGTATCCGATGGAGAGTATAGAGCTGGTCCAGTGTTCCGCGACCGGGACGAAAACCACACTGCTCCTCCTGAATCCGAGATTCGACCATCGGACGAAGCCTCCTCTCCAGTACCTTGGAGTAGACCTTACCGGGGAGGCTGAGGAGTGTGATCCCACGATAATTGGAACACACCCTCCGGTCCCCCTTCTTGTAGAGAGGGACCACCACCCCGGTCTGCCACTCCATTGGCACCGCCCCCGATCGCCACGCGATGTTGCAGAGACGTGTCAGCCAAGACAGTCCTACAACATCCAGAGACTTTAGATAGTCAGGACGGATCTCATCCACTCCCGGCGCCTTGCCACCATGGAGGCTGCCAACCACCTTGGTGACCTCGGCCAGGGAGATGGAAGTATCCGCCCCAACATCCTCAGCCTCTGCCTCCTGGACGGGGGACGTGACGGGGGGATTGAGGAGAACCTCGAAGTATTCCTTCCACCGCCCGACAATATCCCCAGTCGAGGTCAGCAGCCCTCCACCCGCACCATACACGGTGTTGGCAAAGAACTGCTTCCCCCTCCTGAGGCGCCGGACGGTTTGCCAGAACCTCTTCGAGGCCGACCGATAGTCATGCTCCATGGACTCTCCGAACTCCTCCCAGTCCCGGGTTTTTGCCTCTGCAACAGCCCGGGCCGCGGCACGTTTGGCCTGCCGGTACTGGACAGCTGCCTCAGGAGTCCCACGAACCATCATTGCTCGATAGGACTCCTTCTTCAGCCTGACGGCATCCCTTACTGCCGGTGTCCACCACCGGGTTCGGGGATTGCCGCCGGGACCAGCACCAGAGACCTTGCGACCACAGCTACGAGCCGCCGCATTGGCGATAGAGGAAGAGAACATGGTCCACTCGGACTCGATGTCCCCCTCCTCTGCCGGGACCTGGGAGAAGCTCTCCCGGAGGTGTGAGTTGAAAGTCCGTCTGACAGGGGGCTCAGCGAGACGTTCCCAGCAAACCCTCACTACACGCTTGGGCCTGCCAGGTCTGACCGGCCTCCTGCCCTGCCAGCGGATCCAACTCACGACCAGGTGATGATCGGTTGACAGCTCCGCCCCTCTCTTCACCCGGAAAAATGGATTTACAGATTTCTACAAATAGGCCAGACAACAGAAGACTGTTCAGTTGATTAAAATCTTTATTTTAATCTCTTTCAATGCTGTTTGGAAGGGGGACAACAAAGAATTTGTTCATGGAACTAAACATTACACATTTACGCTGCAGTGACAAGGGGTCCACAGCAAATACATTATTTGTCCTGGACACCTCAGTTACAAATGTAGACGATATCTTCAGCTTTACATCTTTCCAAGCATTGTTTTCACTTTTTTTCAGTTCTTTCACCAACACACATATGCCAGCATTCTCATGGGAAACTTCGTTCTCAGATGAATAATGAATTAGTGTTGATATTTCACAAAATTGTCCATCCCTCAACTGTGCAACAGAATTAATTCTCTTTTTAAGACTTGTATTATTGTAAGAATGATAAAGAACTCCGCTACAAACAAAGCGATCATAAAATAAACCAGAATTAATCATCATGCCTGTGTAACATTGTATGGCTTTTCTATGCAATATAGATGTGTTATGCCTTTTGGGGCAGCCAACTCCTCTGACACCACACTGAAAAGCATTTGACTTCTGAACTAAGGAAGAGCTACCCTGTAGTTTATTGAAAAAGTCCTTTACACTGTCACAAGCATTCATCATCGCAGCATTTGCCTTGGTGAAAGACCTCTCCACTTGAGGAACCTCTTGACCATCTGAATAGGAACATGTGTTGTTCCATTGAAAAATGTCAGCAATGTCCCATTAAAGGATTCAAATGGAAAGGTAGACGTCGCCCACAGAGGGCCCCAGTTACGAACACTTGCAGCCAAATGCATTAGCAAATGAACATTGTATGAAACATTGACCGTGCCATAAAGTCTTTCAAAATCTAACACATATTTACGCAGAGCCTTTTCTGCAACATCAATGTGCTTCACTGAGATGGCATCCTGAAGAAGAGTGTGCATTGCAAAAACTAGTAAAAACAAATGATTAACATACTTTTTCTTCAAAATATTGTTAAGAACAGGCAAAGCATAAAAAAGTAGAAACGACCTCCACTCGGACGCTTTCCAAAATTTCCTTTCATTTATTGATCTTGGTACTCGTGTCACTTCCACGGGTGGCATGATTCCAAGTAGCTCCTTGTCTACATCACTGACCTTAGATCCAATGTACCAGTCCTGATTATGGTGCCTACTATCAAACCATAAAGACGTGATCTGTCTGGTCACACACAGACAGACACTGTGTTGATACTCCGGAATGAAAGAGGTGATCATGTTCATGCTCTTTAGCTCCATCAGTGGTGTGGGTCCTTTGACACCCATTACAGGCTCATCATTTGTTCCTTGCATGGCATGCTCAAAATGGCTTTCTGCTGTCCTTAACGCTGGTTCTGGTGTTTTCCACACATAAGGGCCACCACCCGGGTGGAGGAAAAATTCACAGCCATACTTTCCATTGAACTGTTTTGTGTTTCTCAAAAGGGGTCGGGCTATTGAATCTGCTGAACAGATTAATGCATGCACTCTACTTTTATGTTGAATGTTGTCACTGTCCCTCCAAGTAAGGCCAACTTCTTCAAGCACTTTAAGTTGATCTACAAAAGCACTCAAGTAACTTAGCATGTTTGGTTTACTTTTCCCAAACCACAGGCATGGTACGATTTTGTTTTGCTGTCTGTCTTTAGGTGATAGTTCAATGATCTGACACTGTATTGGCCAAACTTGAACATTATTGCTTTTAAATACAGGTATTCCGTCACAGTTCCATAACAATGACACATCATCTGGTCCAATATGTCCACTTATTTTTAGTTTTTTATATTCCTGTGCACACTCTATATCTGATACTATTCCATGAGTTGTTTGTATTGCTTGTAATTTGCTTTTTTCAAGAACTTGTACAATTTGGTCCGATGTGTTCATTACGAAAAAGAAAGATCCAGCGTTAATATTCTCTTCCAAGTCAATTTCAGCTTTGCATGAGGAACAGATTTTTGGTGCCTTTTCCTTAGGTCCCAAGTAACTTTCGCAGTCGGTGCAGTAAAAATGGGGAAGGTACTCTCCAAACTCACCATAAGCTTTGTTGAACAAATATGAGGTGGCTGGCACCAATCCAGGAATATGTTCATTGAAAAGTGTGAGAAGATCCTGAAGGGCCACGCCACTCAAATGATGTCGAAGTATGTAAGCCATGATCAAAAGCAGGCTCTCTCCCTTTGTGAGAGAGGCACCAGGATACACAAGGTCATCTCTTCTCTGAAATAGATTTAAAAAAAAAAATAATAATAATAATAATCAATATTCTTAACATAGCCAACAATATTTTTTTAAATATTAGTGGATAATTTGTACTTTACCTCATTTAATATGTGTTCTTGTCCAATACTTGTATGTCCAGAATGTTCATGCTCCCTCTCCTCTCTGACTCCATCAAATGTATTTTGCATATGTAAACTGTCATTGTCTTTTTCACCTTGAGGTTCACTTTGATTATTTTCGCTATTGATGTTTAGTCCAATATCATTTACAGTTATGCCATCTACACATCCTTGTAGTTCAGCATTCTCGGACTCTTCGATTGAATGTGTCCATGACATCAAATCCTCCTCCTCCTCCCTTTCTTTTTGGTTTGGAATGCAGTCCACAGTTTTCTGCAAATTAATAAAATGTACGGTAAAGATACAATCCTAACATTTCGTATGAAATGCATAACTGAATACCTCTCTAAGCAACTTCTTTCTATATGTAGTAGTCCTAGGAAGTGCAGATTGCAGAATCAGATATTTCTTGTAAGATGCTTTTCCTTTCATCTGAAAGTAAACCAAAGTCAATTTAGGACATTTTTGAACGGGTAAGAACCTTTTAACTCACAACTAATTCAAATTGTAACTTGAAAATATAGCAGTGTAGAACAATGTCTCGGCAAATATATTATACATACATACAAGCGCGCGCGCACACACAGTACATTTGAAAATAGCACTGAGCTGGGAACAGCCAACCGCTACTAAACTACTTCCATTAGGCCTGTCACGATAACAAATTTTGCTGGACGATTAATTGTCTCAGAAATTATTGCGATAAGCGATTATATTGTCGTTCTGAGATCATTTGCATCGATTACAATGATAATGCAGGTACACCTTTTCAAAGAGAAATAAACTTTTATTTTTAACGAATATTTAACGCTAGAACACAATAAATTAACAAACAAACAAAAACAATAAATAAAATAGACTCAGTCTCTTAACAAAAAATGACCAGGAATAAAACTGCCAGGACCTTTGTAAAGAACATATGAAACAGATGCCTCAAATGTCAATAATTTCTCAGACTTTATGGCAGATTACGAGAAAGAAATACCAACATGTTGACTTTGTGTGGCTTAAGACAGGATCTCTCAGGAGTAGTCCCACCTCCCCACACACCAGGCGAATGACAAGTGACTGACATGTGGGTTCACCAATGGGGCGTACAGAAGTCCTGCTGCGGTAGCGCCCACCGGAAGTAGCGGGGCGGGCTTTGATGCTAACAGCTAAGCTAGCGGGTTTTTTGTGTAAAGTTCTACTCCAAGAATGCACGTCTGCAGCATCTCTGTGTTCAGAGACCTTCTAGAGACTTTATATAACAGCAGTATGTGTTCACGGAGGTGCGCCATAAGTTTATTTTATTGGTATGGTACGGTACTTCTGCATCGGCGAACACGCTAACGCTAGCTGCGCTAGTATAGTCACTAATCAAGCCTGAATGAGAACTCAGCTGCCGGCATATGTTCACAACTACTGTGTCCCCCATTGTCAATGCTGGTTAAGTCCTGGTTTAGGTCCTGTTTTGGCTGTATTTTGTATTTTTGAGTAATTTCCGTCTGCTTGCTAGACCGCTAATGTTCCCGTGACCACTTTGCGGCTCTCTGACCCGAGAGAGACGGGGGAAACAAACAAGCATGCGAATGGGATTTATCGCAGCCAGAAAAGTTATTGAGCAAATTTTATTTATCGTGCGATTAATTGATTTATTGACTATCGCGACAGGCCTAACTTCCATACTGAAATGCTAACAGATGCTAACAGCATCTAGCTGAATAAATATTTTTTGTACTTGAAACCACACATTTTACTCACCTCTCTCTGTTTAATCTTTCTATGTTTTGTTGTTCTTGGCGTATCCCACGAACTCGAACTTAAGTGTCCTTTCAGCACACGGGGCGCCATGATAACTAATTGAGAGCGGAAAAACTCAACCAGAAGTTTAACAGTCATATTTGATACAGCCAATGAAAACAGTCGGTCTTGAGCAAGTTTCTCTTCAGCCAATAAGAACAATTTGCCTTGAGTACGTTGTACGTACGTTGCGCGCCGTGCGCGCCCAGCGCCCGCCGCCATCTTAGTTTTTTTTCAAAAAGCAACACTTGAGCTGAAACAACCGAGCGCACTTAGATTTACGGTAAAGAGAAAATGCTTCCGTTCAAGTTTGCGATTTTTTATTTCCACAACGAGGTCGTCAAAGTGGAAAGCACTTCTTTAATAGTTGGAAATATTGGCAAATTCAATCAAATTATTTCTCGGCCTGATTTGACCGATGAGAATTGGTTAGAACTCAAATGTCCGTCGAGGAAGGAGCCGAAGAAAACGGAGGCCGTCAAAGTGTTACTCTTTGGGGGTAAGCTGCAAAAAAGTTAACGCTAGTCTTTATTTGTGTATGTACAAAATTACATATGTACTTACAGATTCTTTTAAGGAGTTGATCCAAAAGAAGAACAAATTCATTATAGGAGGTGACATTTGGCCCAAAGATGACATGAAACCCAGAGAGGCAAACATTGGCCAGGTAAGCCTTGTTTTTATTGTTGCGTACACCTTTACATTTTTAACATTAGTATGAAATATAAGGGTACACTAGTGAGTGCTAATTACAAATTACATTAATTTAAACAATCTGGATTATAGGACGTAATGTTCCAGTGGAATGTTAACCTTGCTAACGTCATGCTGCTGTGTGCGCTCGAATCATTTCGAACTGCACAACAATATATCACTTGTGATTTTAGTCTGGTGTTAGCCAGGCTAGTGGAATGTAACAATTGACATTAGACTGTTACCATGGAGAGCCGCCATTAGTTTTACATGTACAATTTATATAATCTACCTTCCTACCTACCTCAGTATTTTTGAATTATTTGTTTATTTGTTTTTTGTTTGTTATTTGTAAATCATAACACTTTATTATATTAAGGTGTTTTATTAACATAAATATCTATTGTTTTTGTAGGATAAAAAAAAGAAACAAAAGTCTACCCGACAAGAAGCAAGGGACAAAACTCTCGCCAAATTAAAAGACACACTTTCACAAAAGAGGTCTCTGCAAGCATCTGAAGAGTTGTTCAGCAGCTCTGACGATTGCCAGACACCTGTTCGCAAGGTTGGGTCATTTATTTACACATTAACAATCCCTGGTGTAAAATATTACATGTAATTTTTTTTTTTTTTTTTGCTAAAGAAAAGAATGCGGATACAGCAGTTCTCACCGCAGCCCAGTTCAGATGATACAGACATTGGGAGCCCACCCCCTTTGCAGATTGTAAGTTGTGGTTAATATAAGAAAACCATATTGGACTTTGGCTTACCATAACATATTCTAACATGATTAATGTGTTATAGATTGAAAACTTAGAAGAAAGTTTGCATGTCAATCCAGAGGTAAGTTCTAATGTTATTTTTTGTGGTCTTCGTTTTGATTGTTGGAATTAAATTTTTCTCTAGACAGGGACTGATGCTCAAGATAACGCTGTGCCATCAATGGCAGAGATTATCGGGTGTCTTCGTGGTATGTTTTGTGGCTCTTTCATGAAAAGCTATGTCTATTCTAATGTTAATTTGGTTTATATATTATTCGTACATTCTCTGTTTTTCAAGAACTCCCAGAGACACTGCGATTAATGAAGGAGTGTGTGGAGAAAGTGAACACATCACTGTCCCATACTTCTTCAACCAATGTTTCTGTGTCATCAACGTTTTCTTCAGATGCTGATGGTGATGGTGATAGTTAAGTGGTAGGTATACTGTTATACCATGTAGTATACCACGAACAAATGATTTTGTTTAAAATAAATATGATTCAATCAGAAAAGCCAAAGACAAAATGTAATTTATTTTCATTTTCTGTGTCTGTTTCCCTACAGCACTTTCTACCAGGGAAGACGGTGGCAGTTTCTAAAAGGGCTTTTCTTCGTTTGAATCGAACACGGATGACCGTTTTCGCCCAAGAGTTAGCGGTGCTTCTTTTTTCAAAGGACACTCTGGCAAAGTCAACTTTAACTGGAAAGTATGGAAAAGGAGAAATGGCCAAAGGTCAACTAGATGTGATCAAAGTCCAGGCCATTACAGGTAATTTCACCTGTTAATCTTAATTAAAAAAAGAAAAGAAAAAAATATTAATATATGAACTTAAACGTGTCTTATGTAGGTGTGCTTCAAATATACACAATTCTAAATAAGTTCATTCTCAGTCATGTGACTTTTGGTTGGCAATCTGCTGTTTAGGACTATGCCTATTTAAATGAAACCTCAAAGTTCTAAAAAGCTGACTGACAACCAGAATGACAGCGACTGAGGAATGCTCTATAAACAGAGTATGTTAAGAACATGAAAAGTACTTTTGGAATGTATCTTTGAAATTCATAAGGGTTAATACTAACACAGTTGTGTCTAGTTAGTTCCTGGATAGGAGAACATGAGGGCTTATGAGTGGTTAATAGTGGTTGAACTGTCTGTTGCTTCTCAGCGTACACTCATGAATATGCAGGTGAAACTCACAAAATTAGAATATCGTGCAAAAGTTGATTTATTTGTGTAATTCAACATAAAATGTGAAACTAATATATGATGTAGAGACTCGTTACATGCAAAGTGACATTATGTCCTGCCATTGTTTCAAATAATTTCGATGATTATGGTTTACAGTCCATTTTCAAAATCTTCTACTTTTCAGAGATTTTTAATTTGGGATTTTTACAAGCTGAGCCATAATGATCAAAATTGCATCAAATTAAAGGCTACATATATCACTATGCATGTAATGAGCCTGTCATATTAGTTTCAGATTATAAGTTGAATTACAGAAATGAAAGCACTTTTTAACGATATTCAAATAGCTTACAAGTGAGTGAAAAACATTCCCATATCTTGTTTGAAATGCTGTACGTGACCTGTGTCATGTGAAAAGCTCTGTACAAATTTGATTTCCTTCCCCTAATACATTGATAACTTGTATGAAGTGCATATAAATGCGATTTACATTAATATTACTGCATTGGTCATATTTTTTGTATTGATTAAGTTTTCATGTGCAGATGCTGTAATTGAAGAATTTCCGGGATCCACAGTGTCTGAAGTTCGTGCTGCCATAAGAAGAAAGTGCAACAATGAACATTTCTCACATAAGAGGCCATAGATGTTTTGGTTGAAATAATAAGGTCACATTGTTTTTGTTTTTGGTCTTTTATCTTCCAATTTATTTAACCTAAGATCAAAAAGTTCAAGGTGTAACTTCTAAGTACATTTCCTTTATAATTAAATGTATTTTTTGTTTGTTCAAAACATAAATACAAATAAAGTATATTTGTAATGGTGGAAGTCTTTGTGTAATTGATGTAGATTAATGTACTATAAACACATATAAATATTTGAAATTACAATAAAATGCAATGCAATAGCCTTTCCAATACACTTTCAATTACATAGAAGAGTATTTCGTATACATTATTAGTACACTTTAAATACAATGGAAGTGCAATTAGATTATATTAATCGATGACAAGATTGTCACCTGTAATAATATACTTAAAATGTACAAAGTATACTTAGAATTGTTCCACTTTAGTACATAAAAATGCATTAAGAGTACTTAGAATACAATTTAATTTCTATTTATGAGCAATTTAAATATATTTAATACAAAAAAAGTTGTTCCAAAATAGCACAATTAAAATTTACTTTATCAGAATATACTAAAATATATTAAAATATACAGAAATTAAATATATTTAGTATATTTTTTTTTCACCAGGGTATGCTATCCAATGGCTTTTAGGTGGGTTTTAGTGATGTTTTTAGTATTAGATTGATACATTCAGCTGTGAGACTGACCCAAAAGTGTCGCTGTGCTTTCTCTCTGAGGTAGAGCTTCGACTGTGGCCACTCAGAGAGATTTTAAACTTTATAAAAACACAATGACAGCACAATCAAAGTCACTGCTGTGTCCCAAAAATGCCCAGTATCCTCACAGTTTAATTCCTGTTTGAGCATTATTTGGGAAACTCATGTAAACCACTGCTGAACTCCTGTGAAACTCAAGCCGTTTCCCGCGTACAGGAAGTGAAGTGGGGTAGTAGCTAAAACACGGAAGTGGTGCGTGCATAGAGCCCATAAGAGCCACTGTCATCTTCCACTCATACAATTGGTACGAAGAAATAGCTCTGGTGCTAGCAAAGGCTACTCGTGGTGGTGAGTTTGATGAAGTTCCTGGTGTTATACGTGTTTGTTTTGGACTCACCTCGTGACAGTTTTTCCTTAACCCACAATGTGCTGTCCGCTTTACTCTTGCCTTTCTTGTTTACTTTAAAAAACTGCCATGCGGTCAACATACAATATTATTATAGATCCATGCCAACGTTATGTCTGCTTGCCGCTCGGTGGTAGCTTGCTTTCTCTCTGCAGACTTTGGGAGATCACCATGGCAACACCGCTGTCCTGACACTAATGTGCATTAAAAATGTGGGTGTTGGGTGCGGGTATCGACTCTTCAAGCCTATGGTATAGACCCGATACCAGTATCAGTATCGGTGCATCCCTGATTGGAGCCTATGGTGATATCTACACTATTAGTGTTGTATGTGCGTATGTCGGACATATTTGTCGCCTAAATTCGGATGGATTTCTAATTTTGCGCTAGATCACCTCCACACACGCACAGCACTTGTGTCTGAGTGTCATTTGGACTGGCAGGTTTCACAGTGATTCTGGAATTTTTTTTTCTTTCATGAAATGTTGCGGCCGACCACAGCAGCCCACACAGTGCATGAGGACAAACATCAGCAGCTGCGAACCTGCGTGCAAAGCATAATGTTCCGCGCAAATGCGCGCAGTCAACCCTTACGCGCTGTGAATGCTTATTGTGTAAATTCCCAGTAAGTGAAACAGTTTGAAGCACCCAAACCAACAAAAATGCTTTAAGGGGCTTTCACACCGCCGACGCTGGAACGCTGACACCTCACGCATTCTCTAATTTTCAGATGCAGGGGTCTTCAGACCAGAAGTCCTGGGCTGCGGTGGAACCCGCCGGAAGTGGCGGAAGTAGCGGGCAGACTTTGATGCTAATGGAGTTAAGCTTGCGGCTTTTTGTGTAAAGTTCTTGTCCAATAATGCAACTCTGCAGCGTCTCTGTGTACAGAGACCTTCCAAAGACTTTATAAAACAGCAGTATGTGTTCACGGAGGTGCGCCATACATTTTATTATTAAACGGTACTTGGGCGAACACACTTGAAGCAGTTGCGTAAAGTCACGGGAGCATGAAAATTCATATGTTCACAAGCACTATGTCCCCCATTGTCAACCCTGGGTTAGTCCTGGTGTAGCTCCTGTTTTGGCTGTGTACGAGTATGTTCCGTCTGCTCGCTCAGACCACTAATGTCCCCGTGACCACTTTGCGGTTCTCTGATTGGTCGCTGCACGAGTGTCCGAGGAGACGCTCAGCAATATTTATGCCCAGCATGCGCCGATTTTCCGCTCCTGCAACTCTACCGTGCCTTTGCCGCGCAGTCCGTGCGTCTCTACCGTGCAGTTCGTGCGTGCATCCCCCATAGCATCACACAATGCAACTAGGGAAGTAGTGTGTAGGGAAACCAATATGAGCTCTTTCCTATTAAACTCCTACATCTGTTTTGGCTCGTGCACAAAAGTTTGGCATACCCAAATGTCTTTGCTTATTAAAAAACACATCTCACATGCTTGTGCGATGCATCATTTTAAAGCTAGGCCCTTCTAGTTTATGTAAATATACACTGAAATAATGTATGTCATTCCTATTTCACTCTGCGTCCTTTGAGGTTTTGGAAAAAAACCTGTTTTTTTTAGCCTCGCCTAAAAAAGCCTACTTCATTGGAAGAAGAAAATGTTCAATGCCAATTTGTTCATTGTGTTGTTGACAACAACTGTGTAAAGTTTCAGACTTCTAAGTTTTATAGGTTTTTATGCAGTTTCTCTTTTTTATCAAGTAGTGCTATTCAGAACCAATTTGGCAAAATGTGTGCCAAATTGTGCTAAACTGCTTTTCTAACATTTCACCATCATAAAAAGCATATTTTTTAGTTTTGGTACTTATAAGTTGCAAATCTGTGAAAAAACTGACGCTCTGCAAGTGGATGCGGTTCGTCTTTTTCACAAGGGTTCTGCGGACTGAAACCTGCTCCTATCTTTTCATGGAACCTCTTTTTTTGAAGCTAAGGACTCAAGGAACACGTGGGGGTAAACAAAGCTCAAAATTGGTGAAATGTGAAAGAGAAGCCTAAAAATTTTTCGGAGCGTTTTTTTTTGCAACAGAAAAATGCACATTTTTGGATTATTTCTGAAGAATGGATTATACTTTGGGAAATACAAGTGGACATTCTTTTTCACTGAAGAATTACGGAGAGAAAGAGATTGAGCAAGGATGGGGAAAGTCTAATTTGTAGGAGCAGCAGAAGACAAAAGGTAAGAAACTTATACAAACACGATTTATTTTGTGCCCATATTATGCGATATATCTTTTTAATGCAAAGTCTGATATCGTTCACACTTAAAATATAAATATAGCTGAGAAAATAAGCTTTAAAATGATATATAGCTTGTGGCTTATGAAGTTCAAAATACATCTGCTATTGCCAGCAGAAGTATTTTTTTTCTCGTTTGCCCCTGCCGGCTTTATCTACATGGTCATTTTAAATCGAGTTAATTAAAGCTTAAAGATTAACCAATCGCATTTCTAACTATCGGCAAAAATATGCACTTTTTCTGTAAATGATTACATAGCGTACATATGTACAGTATTTGTTTATTTTAACAACAATGAATCCACATAAAATGGCAATATCATTAATAACAGTCTGTCTTTCTGTTTAGACTCAGACCAAAACTCTTGTTTGTTACAGATGAGGGACATTTCAAAACAATCTGAGGCAGAATGTCATTAAATCTGTTTGATTTACTCACAACATTTTACTTTTGGGCACAACCAACATGAACTGTTAATGAAAGGGAAAAGGTACGTACCCCAGCTTTCATTTAGCAAGTTTTAGCTTAGTTTAGTTTCACAGGGGGGGCATGGTCCAGCTTCAGCGGTGTGTTTGCGTGCACAGGTAAGACACCCACACAACATTCAGAGAATAGTTCTGTGCGTTCATGGTCTTGGATATGGTCACATTACGGCGGCCCGTTCGCCATGTTAGCGGCTCACAGCCACGCAGCTGCCCCATGTCAAAACGCCGCAGGAGGATGCGGACTCCCGTTTAGTTCATGGCTAACAGGAGCAAGTGCTTCGCGGTCACGCATGTATTCCTATTTTAACTTGAATTCCCAGAGACTTCTCACACACGCACGTGTTCGCGGCATTCTGAGTGATATTATGGGATACATGGGCATCGGACATGCGTCAATTGCATTAATTTTTTTAACACTATTCATGAAAAAAATTAATTAACGTGCGTTAATGTGATAATTTTGACAGCCAACAGCTGATATGCAAAGAAAATGTGACTCTTCTTCCGAGTATTTTTGTGCTTTTTGTATATTTCACGACACTTTGAAGTTACTGTGGTTAAAGTTCTAAATCATTCTAACAATATGCACGAGGCAGTTTTTTTCCATTACATGTTTCGGCTATCTACACAATCCTAGACTGTCATTTTCTTCACTTTAGATTCTAATTCTCGATCGATACATCAAAAATGTCAAATTGTGTAACAGTAAAGATCCTAATGCGTAATCCAAGAATAATTTGATTTGCGAGTTAGAAAAAAACCCACTGGTTCAGTTCCCAGTTCAGACCCCCCGCCGTGCATGTGGGCAGCGCGGAGAGGACGAGACTTTCTTTTGGATGGATGTTTCGCTGTGTAAGCAGTAACGAAGACACAGGAAGCTTCAAGTTAGCCTCTGCCGCTTGTTGTGCTAACTCAGTTGTCGGTGCTAACCAGAGTCCTGTAGCTTTTCTCAAGAAAGCGGGGGCCAGTGGTCTGCTGTGATTGGCCACAATCGGGACCCGAAACACATTCTCTTCCTTGTTTCATGAAAACTACCTAAAATATAATGTCACGCCAGCACAAACCTGCGCTACTTATTCTTCAAAAAGATGTATATCCCAATGCACTGCATGGATATGGATTGCATTTTCGTAATGCATACGAAAATAAAGTCAGTTA